TGCTGCTTAATATTTTTTTGGAACCTGTGATACTTTTTTTCAGGATTCTTTAATTAAAGCAGCACTATGTACCTTTTGGCGCTCTAGCGGTTAATAAACAGAATTGCACACATCCCGCGGAAGAACATTCCAACCTGAGCTACTTCTCTAAGTTTATGTCTCTGGCGATTCACGCAGGTATGTGTTACTCCTCAGCGGTGACGACCCGACCAGGCTACAATAGTCCAAATATAAGTACTTATTATAAGTGTACCGTAGTGATTCGGAATAAGACAAAAACGCGGTTTGGAAGATGAATTCATGATGTATTCGCTCATTATATAAATTTTGAACACAGAAAAAGTTACATAGTGCTGCTTTAAGCGTAATCTGTGTTAGTGTTGTTTCAACTGGAAAATTATTCTAAATATGTTTTCCCCTAATTGTACCAAAGTTCCAGTGGGTGTTCGCTTTTCGTGAGTGTGTGTGAGGGAATCCTGGTATTCCCTAGGTTATGGGGACAAAATATCCCCACGAAGATAGTAATACTGTGATATATTGAATAGGCCTATACGTTATGTTCTTGCTTGTACAATTTTCCTTTAAATTCATTAGAAAATTGTTTAATGTTATTTTTCCTAATATTGTTAAGAATGTTAAATTGCTTATTTGAGCGTTATATGGTGAAAAAAAAGTGTTATGTGCATTTTTTAAACTAGTTATGTTTGTTTGGCATACCTGCGTCATGGCGTCATTGCACGTCTCATTAGGTGGCGCGCCTGTGATGCGCTTCATTAAAGGCAGAGTGAGTGATTTCTGGTAGCCAATGTTGATATTTGAAATCACCAAAACAAACACGCCTCTACCCCAAAAGGGTCTTGCCCCTATTTTGATAGCTCCGCCCCACATATACGTACGCAACCCAGGCAACGATTAGTTCTGTGAAACAAAGCAAAACCAATGTTACACCGTGTCTACGGACGTGAGCAAACTGCTGCCGGGTTCTATTTATGACATGCTGACACAAATTTCAAATGGTTTTCAACAGTCGTTTGATCGCGTCCAGTGTAGGCAGACTTTAGCTGTTGTAGACACAGTGTTACTCACCTATTGAGAAGAAACAAAGCAACCTCGGCGTCCGATCGCAGGCCTCCGCTCCTTGAGTTCTCTCCAGCGCTGAAAAGCTGATCCGATATTTACACGGGTCCTACTTCTTGCCTTATCGTTCCGCAGACGTTTTCCTCTTTTGTTTTTTATCCGCCATCTCTATCTTTCTGTCGCTCGGCTCGGCTAATGTCCGTCCCATGCACTGAACGCGCTCTCCTCCACATCACGAGTAGACACGCCCCTTATTGCTGATTGGCTACAAGTTTGTTTTGCGATTCGGCCCGAATCAGTTTCGAAGAACGGACCCCTGGTTTGCGATGCAAATTATATGTCAATATGACAAAAAATTATTTAGCTAAATATAAAGTTTAAGCAAAATAAGACAATAATAATAATAATAATAATTTTATTTTGCAGTACAACTATAAAATTACAATACTAATTTTAATCTTAATTTCTTCATTTTTAAATAAACTATCAAGCTCTGAAAAACTAAACTTTAATTTAAACTTGAACTTTAATTTCAGCCTTTGCAATTTGATAATTGCACTAAGCCATAGCATAATTATGGTTTTATTTTGATTAATCGTGCAACCCTACACTCTCAGCAAAAAAGGTACAAAAACTGTCATTGGGGCGGTACCTTTTCAAAGGGTACTAATATGTACCTTTGAGATACCAATTTGTACTCTTTAGCGGTAAAGAAAAACAAAACCTGTACCTTTTAAAAAGTTATCGCCCCAGTGACAGTTTTGTACCTTTTTTGAGAGTATACCAACAGGTGGCCTTCAGTGCAGAGGTTATATAAATGTATTGGGATATGGGTGCTGATTTCATTCTTCCCCCTTTCTATCCAGTCATATGGGCAGTTGGGCACTGGTCTGAATCCAAGTAAATGACAGTACAAGAGAGTTTGTCTGTGAGGTCTAGTCTTTTTCAATGTGTGTATTTGGTGATTTGATACAAATGCTCTTGCACTGAAACAGAGGCACACTGTTCGACCTCCGGAGGGCGCAGCCTTCTAAATGAGACACAGCGACAGAGTCAAGGAAGCTATCACTGCAGCGCTCGTCTCTTTAATTCGTCATTCATCTCTATTATACTTCTTTTCAGGTATCTGTAGAACAAAACGCACAAAACACACTTCCCGGTTGAGTATAAATTCTGTTCATTGTGATGATAATGAGTTATAGCCTATGTGTTAAAAGCAGTTCGTCTGACTCAATAATAGTGTGTCATGAGTTTAGTGTGCAAAAGCACATGGTTAGCATGGGTGCTTCGCGGTTAGCGCGATATCCCGCTATTCATGATAAATGGTCAATTGGTCAACAAGGAGCACCCATGGGCAGCGACTATGTATGCATTGGAGCAGCACCTTAGCTTGCGGCTGATTTCCCACAGGGACCAGCCATGTGTTCTGGTGTCCCTCAGGTTTCTCAACCTCTCTAGTTCATTCCAACCAATGTCAGTCCCTTTCCAAATGGGAACACTTATTGGCAGTAATTACATGTGCATTGAAATAAAGCCTGATCTTAGAAGGGGAATCCATTTCTTACATGGAGCACATGGACCTCGATATCGGATTCTTATCAGATTCACAAAGGGAGCATCCATGCCTGCTGGTGCACCTATGCCTGTCCATTTCCCATAAGAAACAACAATGCCAACCAGTGTCCTAAAAGGAGCAACTGCGTTCAAATGATTTTCAATGGGGTTGAAGTCAAGACTAAGTTTGAGCCTGATGAATTTTTATTTATTTATTTTATTATATATATATATTTTTCGAATTGCTCTATTGAATCCAGATGGAAACTTTTTTTTTGGTCAGGCAGTGTATAAAAAAAAATAAGTGTTTTTTTTTTTTTTTTACAGTCAACAATGATGCCGATATAAATGCACATAAAAATTAAGGGTGAAAGTATAAAACAAAAAGAGTGCAAAATGCCTACACCCACTCAAACACATCTTTGTGAGTTACTTCATCTCTGTTCGACTGGGTGACCTTGACCTCAGATCAGATTCTGTTCTCTCTAATCTGCACATACAGTAATACTAATAATAAACAGAAATGTGTCTGTTTCTAGATGCCACAGATCCATGTGCTAGATTTACTTTCAGGATCTAATTACATTGTAGAAGTTCTGAAATTTGATTCCAAGCCCAGCTGAAAGATTACTCATTGTGCTGTCTGTTGAAGACTGTGGTTTCTCCTTGATTCCAAACACACATAGCTGAAATGAGTTCACAGGAAGCCCCACAAGTCATTTGGGACAAGTCTAATCACAGAAGATGATGAATACATCTGGTGAAAATATATAAGTTCAATGACGTCAGCCTCAAAGAGTGAAATATTTTCCATCCCTTTCTGACACGCACACACACACACACACAGAATGAGCTTCATGACTCATTTCCCATGTAGCAGCAGTGAGGTCTGTTGGGCTGGTGTTGGTTAAGGATGAGATAAGCTCTGCTGGATTTAAGACACAGCAGGAATGATGTAGTCTTAATGACATCATGTGCCTGGCATCTCCAAAATAATCCCAGAGACTGGATCTGATTCAAATAAAACCTCACCTGCATATTTCTCTGTACCTCAGCACACACTGCAGTCTGCTTTTGTGTTTGAAAAAGGTTCTTAAAGATTGTTTTCCAGTCTAGAAGTGCCTGAATGATTGTAACTAGACGACTGACCTTAGAAGACAAACTGATCTTTCATTTTTCAACATTTATGATTCTTAGGCTGTACTAAGGTATCTTATTCGGGTCAGTACAAAAAACAAAAAACATGCATGTTGTGTGATCCGTCTTATTTAGAAAAAAATAATTTACATTTTGCATACACTGCAAAGTGTATGTAATTTTCTTTTTTACCACAACTGTAAGTCCCCATTCTCTATCAGCCAATATGTCTAGTTATTACAAATACGGAATAATAACTAATAAAATTTGTACTATAAAATATGTTTCAGCGGTCACCACTGCAATAGTTGAGTACCTTATAATAAATACTATTATTTTATAGTAACTCTGGCAAGAATTAGTTTTTATTGCTATTAAATATTATCAGTAGTGACTATCTCCAATGACATTAGTCCTTATTGAACAAACAGTATCTCGCTGGAAGTCATTGTGACTAATCATTAGAGACAATAAGCACTGAAACTGGGATATATGCCAATCGCTCTTTAAATAAATGACTATACTATTGGGCAATTCATTCAAAAATAGATTCAAGTTACTATTCAGTTACTAAAAGCTGTATGTATAACGTGTTTCATGTTCAGTTGCCAACTCCTGAGATCTTGCAGCAGGGTTACAGAAAGAAAATGAACTGACCAATCTGTAAAAACATACATTTTATTGATGACGTCTGATACTTTACAGCGTTGGGTGTTATTATTAACAGTACATAGTAAGATTTCCTCTTCTGGAATCCAGACATGTAGTATCAACATACAAAATTGCGGCAATATAAGAGGCATTTACGGTACATGATATTTATATGTATATATGTGTGGAATCTTCTGAAGAGGATTTGAGATGGATATTTCAAATGAACTCATGGTAAGATTGCAGAGCTCTTTCTTACAAGCACAAGCTTTCAGCAAAGCATGAACCTTTAACCGATAATCAAAGATGGAATGAAACATGAACCATAACCTGTAAAAAAGATTTCATACACACAATTCATCATTTGTTCACAAAGAAAAATGAAAGACAAACATAAGTCAATTGATACACAAGGCTCTTACAAAACCGAACAGTACAAAACAATGAAGCTTAACGACAAGGTGAGAAAAGGAAAACTTTAAACTTGGTCCTAGCTTTTGCATTTAAAGCAGGTGTACAACATGTTCCCCTGTGTAATCCAGCTATATAATAATCCATACCGGGCATGCTCAGACTGCTTCGCCTGAGATGCCGTACTTTTGTGCTGAAGGTCCATTTGGTGGCAAAGCGTCTGTGCTCTACATTATATACCACAATCAATGAACCTCGTAGGACGTACAAGCTCACAGAAAATGGCAAGCGGTATAAACGTTAATTCAGTATTTTACACTGGTGTTAGATCGCTTTAGTGAAAAGATAAAGCTTTACATTGCAAACATGCATGCGATCACAAATGTGCACAAACGTGTTCGGGGCTCTGGCTGCATCAGGGCCACTAAATGCTCAGAATTGGTTGCTATTCAAGATGAAACTTTACTCGTCCTTCTCGCGTTCACTCAACTAGTTCCCCAATTTCCTCTTTAGCACAGACCATGTGCTTCAGAAATATTTCTTCTAGACAAACTAAAGGAATAATCCACCACAACTTGAACGTTTTGCCATTTACTCACCCTCATGTTGTTCCAAACCCATATCTGGTTATTTATTCATTTATTTTTTTGAATGGGAATCTTCATGCAGCTATTTTTCGAACTTGTGCGTTACATTCCAAGCCATTTGGCGATTGGTTGTTGGTGAACCAATTACAGTGAACGATTTCAATGTTGTCCTAACCCGCATACAAAACTATCGTATTGTCTTCATAACCCATAAGGTGTTTGACAGCCGTGGTTACCATAAACTATGCGAAAATTCTTTAAAAATGAATCTTTTGCGTTCTATAAAAACAATAACAGCATACAAGTTTGGAACAATTTAGGGCATGAAATGTAGCATTTTCTTTTAGGGTGAATTATACCTTTAATAAACTCAAAAAATGAAATTCAGCTAGAGTCCTGAAAATGAGAGTATTTAGGTGTTAGTCTTTGGCATGGTATTAGAAAAGCCATTTTAGATTTATCTACAGGAAAGATACTCTCATCTAAATCTATAACTAAATTACATAAATGCTCACTTCCTGTGTTAAAAAAAAACAAAAAAAAAAACAATATATCCCTTAGTGCATTGCTCGGTGGAAATATACCTCTAAAAGTTTTTAAGTCCTAACTGAAACCTGTCTTTGACCTTCATTTACACACCCAAGGTTGTCATTAGTGCTGATCTAGTACAAATGTTTCCATTTCCAAAGACATTTGATGAAAATGGGGCGCTGATCTTAAATTAGCACTCTAATTCCTCAGACACACAGTATTAGTGTGTTTCGGGAATAGGAGGTGAATTTTACAATATGAATTGTCTCAATCGGCAGCAAAACCGAGGTGCAGTGTGGAAGCTGAGAGTTTTTGAGAGGACCCAGCTGCCCAAAGACATCCACACACAACCCATGCTGATAAAACTACAGCCGCACAATCTTCTCACACACTCACGGTGAAGCTAACAATGAGAGTATAGATGACTTTTATTAAAGAGTGTCTGTTACAAACAGCGTGGCTCTCATTGGCTAACAGCGTGGCTCTCATTCAGCTCTCTGCTGAAACCTGTGCTCCAAACCCAGACTCGACAAATCTAGATTTAGCTCACATTAAGCGGGGAACACAGCAGATCCAGTCCAGTTGAGTCTAGATTTGTTCAGAGTGAATGTGGGCGACAGGTTCTGATCCAGCGCATTCATGAAGAGATCACTATAGCGCTTGAGTACATGTGTGTAACCGTTGCAACCTGTTTAGTTTCGTTTCAAAGAACTTTTACAAAGAAAAGAGCAGAAAGGGTTTTACACAAGCAAAAAAAAAAAATGGCTGCAAAAGAGTTGCAGCTATAAAAACAAACAACAATTAACAATAATAATACAACATAACAAAAAGATCATTGAGTATTAACATTAGGGAGGCAAAGTATCCAGTTGTGTCCCTTCTTCAGGTGAAGCGGCTCCCTCAGAGGGTTTGGCACAAGAGTCTGATGAGCTTGTGAGAGAGAGAGAATATGTTCTACACATCCTTCGCTACTCGCCTCCGCCGCACTGAAAGAGAAAACAGAGATGTGTTAGTAATCTGATACATTCACAGCATTCACGCCGTTAGAACATGCTGAGAGCTACAGTACAAGAACCTTTAATGAGATCTGCTCATTTAAGACGCTTAAATAAATCAAGTGTGTTAGTCAATCCTTCATCCTGTTACAAAGCTACACACAATTACTAATTTCAGACAAAACTTGTTCTGTCATGAACAATCAGGTCTCCCTGCACAACTGGGTCTGTTTTCAAATCAGTTTTCTGTTACAGTACAATAGTTTAGCCTACTGTATTATACAACAGCTGATATCAAAAGTTAGTTTCACATTTTATTATTTGCTTGTTCTTGCTGATCAAAAGGTAATATGAGATTTAATAAGCTAGATGGCAACAGCATAGCAGGATGCTGAGCAGGTAAAGAGAAAATTGTAATTTCACGAAGTATAGCTTTGTTTGTTTACCATTATATGCAACAATTTAAATGGCATTTATAGTCATATTTACATTTATTTATTTAAAGGTTATAGTTCAACCAAAAATGAAAATTCTGTCATCGTTCACTGAACGGCACTCATGTCGTTCCAAACTTATATGACTTTCTTCTGTGGAAGATATTTCGAAGAATGCTGGTAGTACAATAGTACTAGAGTAGAAGAACAGTTTTGGTCCCCATAGACTTTCTTGTATGGCCAAAAAAAAAAGAGACATTTCTCAAAATATCTTATAATATCTATAATTCCACTGAAGAAAGTAGGTCATACAGGTTTTGAATGACAGGGTGAGTAAATGATGACGGATTAAAATTTTTGAACCATACCTTTAATACTACATATGTGACCCTGGACCACAAAACCAGTCATAAGGGTTTGTTTATACATCACAAGGGAGATTTATACATCAACTGGAAGCTGAATAAATAAGCTTTCCATTGATGTATGGTTTGTTAGGATAGGACAATATTTGGCCGAGATACAACTATTTAAAAATCTGGAATCTGAGGGTGCAAAAAAAATCAAAATATTGAGAAAATCGCCTTTAAAGTTGTCCAGATGAAGTTCTTAGCAATGCATATTACTAATCAAAAATTAAGTTTTGATATATTTACGGTAGGAAATTTACAAAATATCTTGATGGAACATGATCTTTACTTAATATCCTAATGATTTTTGGCATAAAAGAAAAATCAACAATTTTGACCCATACAATGTATTGTTGGCTATTTCTACAAATTTACCCCAGCGACTTAAGACTGGTTTTGTGCTCCAGGGTCACATATCTGAAATTGTTACAAGTACTGAACTGAGTACAAATTAAAATACCTTTTAGCCAATGGAATTGCTAGGCAGACTCATTTGAAAATAACAACAACCCATCTAGTCTATCTCAGATCCAATTAGGTTTTTAATCAGCCTGAAGGGAAACAAAGATTTATTTTGAAGGTACTAGGTTGATAGGCGGCCTAATCACTAGATTTCGCCAAAATTGCCAGGTTAGTTTAAAATGCTTAGAAGCAAGGAAACTCGAGATTCACAACCAGCTCTGCTTACAGTGGGGAAAATATTTATTTGATCCCCTGCTGATTTTGTAAGTTTGCCCACTTACAAACAAATGAAGAGTCTGTAATTTTTATGGTAGGTTTGTTTTAAATCCAGAAAAAACACATTATATAAAGGTTAGAAATTGATTTGCATTCCAGTGAGTGAAATAAGTATTTTATCCCCAAGCAAAACATGACTTAGTACTTGGTGCAGAAACCCTAGTTGGCAAGCACAGAGGTAAGACGTTTCTTGTAGTTGGTCACCAGGTTTGCACACATCTCAGGAGGGATTTTGATCAACTCCTCTTTACAGATTCTCTCTAAATCCTTAAGGTTTCTTGGCTGTCGTTTGGCAACTAAACCTACCATAAAAATTACAGACCCTTCATTTCTTTGTAAGTGGGCAAACTTACAAAATCAGTAGGGGATCAAATAAATATTTTCTCCACTGTAGCTGTCTATGAAATAATCAGTTGGAAGAGTAGGTAGAGATTTTATTCAGAACCAGTTTAATGTATATAAAAAAAATAAATAAAAAAAAAACTTTGGTTTTGTTAACAGGTATTGCACATGCCAACATGGACAAAACACCATATTAATATACTCTGACCTCGTTTGTTGAAATACTTGTTCAGCAGTGCAGCAAACAGAAGTGATTATTATTTATTTATGTATTTATTTTGTTTTTAATGAATCACAAACATTCAGTACTTCCTGATTCTTTAACGAATAATTCGAATGAGTAGGATTTTATAAAATCAAACACGTACAACACGTACAAATCCATATTAGTAAGCTATTCACTTTTGGACAGAAATTCTACATATTTTATGCTAATTTCTGCAGGTTTCTTTCTAAGCTGGCAGTTCTTAGACAGAACAAGCAGCAAAGTGGACCAGACTTTATGGCGAAAGTCAAAAGACCGCCTACATAAGACTACCACTCTGAACTGTGTGTGCATTTCCAGCTGAGGACTGAGTTTGGTTAATCAGTGTTGACTAGTTCACTTCTATATAAGGTCTGGATTCACAACAGTGAGGATCTGATAACTTACCACACCCCGTATAACCTGTCCAATGTACAGGTGAGTCAAACAGACTTTAACAAAACACACATCACCTTTTAAAATGTGCCGTTAGCATTCATGCCAAAGATTAAATGTCAAACCCGTGCTCTCACACATAATACCTAAAGACACTGGAATAGAGCTTGACGCATGACATCACCTCACACACATGTAAAGCACACTGTGTGTGCGTGGTAACATAAGACTGGCAAACAGGAGATAGATCCAGACTTCATTGATGAAAGACAGAAAGGAAAAGAAAATATCATTAATAAAATGCCATTTTAAAATACCTTGTTTTACAGTTTTGTAGCAGATTTTTTGTCTATCTGAAACTAAAAATACAAGTGGTTTTTGCTACTGTACCTTTAAAAATTCTATATGTAAACAAGCTCTGTTATGACTGACCAACAACACTGCATGTAAAATAATGTGTGTGCTAACACTTGTGCTTACAGATGTGCATCAGTAATCGACTAGAAAACTTGTTCTTAACGTAGTCTCACACGCAAGTAAAAGCAAGTAAACGCTGTATTGCTGATGTTCATAAGCGCCACCTGTTGTCAGAGAGTGAATTTGCGTTTTCATTCAGCCAGTCAGCTGTTTTTGTTTCATTCAGATGTTTTATGTAGTAGAGTTTCACAAAGCTAAAATCAGACCATCCTGTTTTTGCTTCAAATTTCGAAATTATACAAAATAATTGAAAACAAAAACTGCTCATGCTGCATATATGCAGCATCTTTGTTTGGATTTTGATTCAAATGCAATGGTTGCCTCTAATTTAAAATGGAAAAAGCACAGGCAAAGCCTTAGTTTGTTTATATGAAGAGATTTCTTTTATTTGTATTATTTATGTATTTGATTTAGGATTTGTTTTCAAATTTCAATTTAGTTTTGTTATTTGACACATTTCAATTTCGCAAAGAAATGTGCAGCATTTTGTCTGAGAAACAAAAAAGGACACCTTTTCATTTATAATTTTTCTTAAATCTCGTTTTGTTAAAAAAAATCGTAAATCATATCACATCTTGAGTTGAGTTAATCGTTACATCCCTAGAACCGAACTGAAGAACTAGTTTTTAATGACGTATTTAAATGTGTATCGCAGTTGTGTCTTTCTTTTGTATGTCTTTCTTAGGTCAAAAATAGTGAATAGCAAACACACGAGAGGGCATGTAGCCATCTAGCCTGTTTCTGTCAATCAGAGCATATGTGAATTAGGTTATGTTCTCACCCAGGTCGTTGTTTTTTGTGATTGCGGCAGCAGCGCGGGATCTGGGACCCTGCTGGGTGAAGTGGTACCCAAACTTCACGATGCTTGTATTCTGCTCCAGCATCTTAGCGATCTCCATCTCTGTCGATGTACCGAGCTGCTGCCGCTGAGAGCAGAAAACACCGGAAACATCTCTATTACACATGCTTACATAAGCCCACACACACAGACATTTCACTAAGAGTAACATTTGAATTCAATTTGCATAGTGCCGGCAAAATAGCAGGGTTTTAACACATTTCAACATATGTACAAAAATAGATGCAGCATAATTCATTATACTTATAATGTATGTACCTACATTGACAAAATAACTGAATTAAGGCCCATTTATGCAGTGGTCTACTAACACAAGCATTTAAAACTAGTGCTGTTTAAAACACAGAGACCGAGACGGAAGAAATCGCATCCTGTTTGCTTTCATTATTTTACAAAAGTGAAATGTTTTGTTATTATTGTGAGTGCACACAAATAAATGTAGAGTCTTTACAAATTCGAAAGATAAATTACTCTTATCTGTATGACCGAAATGAGGGAGTATTTTAAGGAGTAAGTGACTGCACCGGCGCCTCCATCTGTCCTGCAGTGAGCGCTACTGTTCAGCTTCCACACTCCGCACAGACACTTGTTAATTATGCTATTCTAATTGCAGTATAAATACTAGGGCTGCCCCCTAATAGTCGACCACATTTTTTTTAGTCGCAGAAAAAAAAAATCCACATGCAAAGTCACGCAGTCCGTGATGGACAGATCGTTAACGGCTGCTCTTTGTGGTAATACAGTACATCGGGCAGGACATCCAAATGCTCATCTATCTTTCATCAACCTCAAATATGGCTTATCATCTGAAATATTCAAGTATTAGCAACTTTACATGGCTGCTCAATCAAATGTTAACCTAGAAAATGTGTGCTGTTCAAGTGTCTGTGCGGAGTGTGCAAGCTGAACAGTAGCGCTCACTGCAGGACAGATGGAGGCGCCGGTGCAGTCACTTACTCCTTAAAATACTCCCTCATTTTCGGTCATACAGATAAGAGTAATTTATCTTTCGAATTTGTAAAGACTCTACATTTATTTGTGTGCACTCACAATAATAACAAAACATTTCACTTTTGTAAAATAATGAAAGCAAACAGGATGCGATTTCTGCCGTCTCGGTCTCTGTGAACAAGCTTTATGCGTGCTTGAGCGCTTATAGGCTATGTAGGCAATTAAAGGCTCAATATAATGATTTAAATGGTTTATTAATAAATGTGCTACTAGTCGACTAATGCTTAAAATGAACGACTCCTAGTCGACCAGAACAAATCTTTAGTCGAGGGCAGCCCTAGTAAATGCATTCATGCTTTCTCTGAACAGTCTGTATGAATATACTTAAATGCCACATCTGATGAGGCTTCCGAAAATAATGTTATGACCACATTGTTGCCAAAAAGTTTGTGTAATAAATTCTATGGTGAATCAAAATATTTCTTTCTAAAGCTACTTACAATTTTGTAACGTCTATTTAATACTTTTCTCATGTAAATGTAAAGTTACTTTAAATTATCTTTTGGTGGGTAATTTCTCAGCCCAAATTTATGTGCGTTTAATTTGCGATTAATTTGATTAATTAATCAGCACACTACATAATTAATTAGTTAAGATTTTAATTGCCTGACAGCCCTAGTAATTACATATTAAGGTAATGTTATATAATCATGACATGGTTAATTCTGCTGGAAATAAAAGTTCTCTCATTTGATGATTTTTTTTTTGTAATGCAAACAAAAAGATAAGATTATTTATTATAAATGAATGACAAATCTGGCATCGGTACAAAAACAGCGTTGCATTATGTAAAAAGAAGGCAGATTCAAAACAATTTTACACTACCATTCAAATATTTGGAGTCAGTATAATTTTTTAAAAATGTTTTGTATGAAATGTCTCGTATGCTCACCAAGGCTGCATTTATTTGATCAAAAATACAGCAAAAACAGTAATATTGTGAGAAAAAAAATGAAATAAAAAAACGTTTTCTATTTTCATATATTTTAAAATATAATGTATTCCTGTGATGATTCCCGGCTTAATTTTCAAAAAACTTAATTTTCAGCAGCCATTTTTCCAATGTCTTCATATTACTCCAGTATAGCACGAACTTTCAAAAAATATGCTGATCTGGTGCTAAAGAAATATTTCTTATTATCAATGTCAAACTTAGTTGTCCTGCTTAAAACATTAATTTTTTTAGGGTTCTTAGATGACTTTAAAAAAAGTTAAAAAGAACAGAAATTATTTGAAATAGAAATATTTTGTAATAATGTAAATGTCTTCTTGTCAATTTTTATCAATTTTATGCATTTTACGCATCCATGCTAAATAAAAATATATATATAAAAAAAAAAGTATATGTCAAAGTTGACTGGATGAGCCACACTGAAGATGCTGTATTTAAAAAAAAAACACACACACACACACTCACTCACTCACTCACTCACACACACACACACACACACACACAATAATACCTTATTAGCAGCATCAGATGATTTCGATATTAATGTGGCAAGCTAATATGCAACAACCTAGTCACACTGGATGCGAGTGGTGTGTCAAAGTTATAATCACCTAAACTATAATCACCAGAGCAGACCACACTGGTAGCACCAGTCTGTGACAGTCTACAAAGTAAAAAAAAAAAGCTTGTTGTTTTAGAACAGCATATGTTTGAATTTGTGTGCTGTACCTGGTTGTCAATCTTGATCTCTGTTAGCATGTCATTGTCCCGCAGAGCTTCTACCAGAGCCTGAACTCCTGTGCCTGTGATAAAATTAGACTCCAGATTCAAACTTTTTAGCGTCTTATTCTCTCGTAGCATGTCTGAGAAGGCCTGCAGTGAACACAGAGAAACACACATAGCTTTAACAAGGTGTCAAGGGAGCCGGATCTCTTCCATGTTTATCTTAGCCTTTCACTTTTAGTGAAGACAGGCAACCTACCTGACACTGACAAATCACCAGTAACCAGTAATGACAGTATAATCTATTATTTAGAGTGGAATATATTTAAAACTGCTTATGCAACAATTTTCAGAGGTTTAACAAATGCTGCCTATTTGAAACCACCAGAAATGATGGAAAAACAGCAGACATTCAGCTTGGAAAACACACTTAACAAAAACAGCATGCAATCAAAGTACGTAACATGTAAGAATCAGTTCACTGTAGGTGCATGATTCAAGCGCTTTCAAGAGATTCATTTCTTTCTTTTTTTTGACACAAAAAGCACAAAATATGGAGGGTCATCCCTAAAGACAGCATTTGTCCACTCTCAACCCCGAACACACAGACATCTGAAGTGAATCATGTCCCTCACCATGGCAACAGGGTCATTGCTTCTGGTGGCAGCCAGACTGAACTTCTTCACATGAGTGTTCCTCTCCATGGCTTTTGCAAAGTCCTTTAGAGTCGGGATTGGAATGTTCTAGAAGTAAAGAGAAGGAAACATTAAAAACAGATTTGTTGTTGGACAATTAAACAGCTCCTTTATGTCACTAAATTCATTGCCATGGTCTTCATCCTGATTTTATGACATAGCCTCCATTTTAGGTCATATGAATTTTTAAGAATTAACATAGCTCCCTGTGAGAGACAAAAACAGATATACAAAATAATTAAAAAATAATGTAAACATTTAAAAGTAAAAATGGTGGGTTGGGAGCTTTCAGGAAAAAAAATGTTCTGGTTTGTACTGTATGTCTGTTTACTGAATAATTTCAGTAATTTCATAGCAGATATTGAAGAGATTTTTTAAGCAGCTTATATATATATATATATATATATATATATATATATATAATTTATATATAGTATTTGTATTAGTATTTGTTATTTGATTAAATAACAAAAAAGTCCAAAGTCTAAAACATCTGCATTTGAGAACACAACTGAAAATGCTTCACAAATCACCATAATTTGAGTTAAAGTGTTGCATTATTTGGTGTGTCCACCTTTAAATTTAATGAGCAGAACAAAACCTGATAATCATGTTCTCCAGCATAATTTGAGAATGTTTCATAGAACATACTCTGCTTTAGTGGAACCAAGAAAAGCAGGCCGTCTGTACAAAGGAGCAACATGTCACTAATTTAATTAGTGACAGACATAATTCACAATATATGTGCATTTCCAGTCAATTAATTTTTTTTTATTCCAGATTGTCAAATATCAGGCAGTATCAAATGTTTGGACTAAAGCGTATTTGGTAGTAATTTGTTGGCAATATAAAATTAATAATCATCATAAATATAAAAATGACTTTAATGCATTTTTATTTTGGCCATTAAAGGGTTAGTTCACCCAAAAATGAAAATTCTGTCATTACAGACAGCTCTCAGAATTTATCAAAAATATCTTAATTTGTGTTCCGAAGATGAACGGCGGTCTTACGGGTTTAGAACGACATGAGGGTGAGTAATTAATGACAGAATTTTCATTTTTTGGTGAACTATCCCTTTAAGTGTCTTGGTTTGAGTGTACTAAACTGAATCTCATTACCTTTATGTTGTTGAGATTGACTTCGGTCAGCGAGGAATCATTGGATTTTATCCGCTGCAGAGTTTCCTCCACTTTTGTAGGGTTTGGTGGCTCATCAAAAACTGGCTTTACCTTTTCTCCCTTAATAACATCTATAACAAACACAACATTCACAAATGAGCTTCTACTGTGTCACGAATGCATGAGAAGACAACACGACTATGGTATCTGCTGAAAGATGAAATCAACTTGTAGAATAATAAACTCACTGTTATAACCGTCTATACAGGTGCCGTCATAACTCTGCATGCTCGTCACCAGTGTGTTCACTCCAAGAATAGCTAGAGAACACAACACAGAACTGTTACAATATACACAAAAAAGTATTTAAAACACCCACATGAAAACATCATGATAAAGTGCAGTAATTCACAGTGCATTAAAAAAAAGCTGTTTAATGCTTATGTGCAGCACTTCACTACTATTTATACTATGGTATTCTAGATGTTACTGCATGAAGCCACTTTCACATTCCTGTGTTTCGGCAGAGCTGACCAAAAAAACACATCCAGCACATGAAGAGTATAAAGCTTATCAGGGTTATAATGAATCATGCAGTGAGGGAAACCAACCAGGGACAATCTCATAAAGCAGCGTGTTGAAAGAGGCTGTTTAGAGAGAGAGAGGATGTGTTTGCCGTTTTATTCTGGAGCTGTGATGGATGCAGTGTGGGCGTTCAGACCCCCAGAGTCAAGGAGGGAAAAAATATTGCAGTGAGAGTAACAGAAAACACTAGAACAATAGATAGCACAGAGCTGTTAATTCAGGCTTAAAGCAATAAAACTAACCCTAGAGATATTAGTGTTCTCTCTAGGTGCTTTCGCACCACATAGTTCTAAGAGCTCAGTTCTAGGAACTATCCAGCAGGGTAGTTCCAAGAGAACCAATTTCCTCCTCGGGCCGTTTTCCTGGTTGCATTCGCACCAGCAGCAGGAACTCTGAAGCGGCCGAAAGCGGCGTCTTTATTCACGCCATTTACAAACATGTTCGGAGCTGTTTTTGTTGTGTCCCGTGGGTTTTGTGATAAGGGAGATGGAATGTAAATGCACAATTTACGCGATTAAAAGAGCACAAAAATCTGACTACATCTCCTATGACAACTTGCAGTGTTACATATCATCGAGGCTGAGAAAAGAACACAGTGCTGCAGACAACAGGTAAATGCCATTATCGCTGTTTTCCATGTTCATCGAGTGAACATTTTTACACAGCTTTTTAAAAATACAGATAACCTGTGTTTCATAAGAGTTTGGAAAATCAGCATACACATACGTCACTGGTAGTTCCTATAGAACTGTTTTAGACTCTACTCTGAAGTAGGAGATAATTTAGTACCCCCAAACGGAGTTCCTATAACTAAATACGTTCCCTAGTTCCTGTGGTGCGAACACGCCAAAAAGAGAGAACTTCCGCCAATAGTTCTAGGAAATATGAAAAGGTTCCTCCAGTGCGAAAGCCCCTTCTGTCTCTTTCTGATCTCCCATTATCACTGTTTGTGAGATTCTGTAGCAGTTTTTACCTGCCAGGTCATGCAGTTCTGTGTCAGTAGCGCTAGAAAGTGCCTCTTCCAATTCCGGGTCAAGGGTCGTGGCTTCCTCCTGATGGATCTCGATTGGTTTCTTTTTGGGAATCCATACCTTTCCTGTAGAACAAAAAGACAAAAAGTGATCAGTAACATAATGGCATAACTTGCATCTTCTTTCAAAAGTGACCCATATCTGATATCTGCATTTACACTATACACTTGGCAAAACAACCCAAGGTAGACATTCTGACCTGGAAAAGTTTAGGCCAAAAAGGAAGTAAATGGACATAGATGAAATAAGCTTTTGATTGCCCAAAGGCTCAAAAGACAAAAATCTTCAGCATGACTCCACTGGGTTGAGCCTTTAACCTCCATTGCACCACTGAAAAGATTCATGTGATCGTGGTTGGTGTCTAAGATTTAACTTAGACTAATGTTAAAAGTTTCATGACAGTAAGGGCTTTTTTTATCTTTTTGAAATGAGTCTTATGCTCACCAAGGCTGCATTTATTTGATGAAAAATACAGAAACAATTATTATAATTATCAGTATTGAAAACGGTTGTGCTTCTTAATATTTTTGTGGGACCTGTGATACATTTTTTCTTATTGAATGGAAAGTTCTTTGATGAATAGAGTTCAAAAGAACAGCATTAATTTAAAATGGCTCTTTTTCATAACAACATACAGTAAAAGTCTTGATCAATTTAATGCATCTTTGCTAAATAAAATAATTTCTTTTAAAAACTAATGCAAATGTCACACTACAAGACTGAATACATGAACATGGAAGTAGTTCCACGTAAAAATTCTTCTATATATTCAAACAATACAAGAACTCTCCCACTTCCAAACATAAATGCTTGAAAAAGCAGCCCAGTCAAATGATGAAAACTCAAGAAAAGTGAGCAGCCCTTTACTTCACTGAAAACTGTAAAAAGACTACATCGCTACTGAAGACCTGAGCAGAGAGAGAGGGTGGTCAGACATGATGTCCAGCTGTATGAATGGCTGGCGTTTATGAACTCGACACACAGATAATGATGGTGCACAGCAGGCCCATCATGATAACAGTTCACCCCTTAACCTCCAGACTCCAATGCTATTGGACTCTCTGTGACGCTGATAATGAGGTCGGTAACGTGAGGCTGGTCTTGTGACGAGTTCATTCTCTCTGGACAGTGAACAACACACTCTACAGCTTGTAGAGTGATGTGACTGCTGATCTCTCTCATACTGAGTGACTGTGAAGGGAGGGTTCTGCTGAAAACATTCAGTTCTTCCGTTTCAGTAAAACCTCATAATGTCACAATTTGAATCGGATGTTTCACAAAGAATAAAAAGACTCCTGGAACGTCATTATTTGATGTCCATCAAGATTTGTGCGGCTCCTCAGCCCATTAGAAGCAAATATGGAACATTCCAACACATTAAAGATGAACATTCTGTCATCATGCTGTTCCAAACACGTATCATTTCTTTCTCCCACTGAAAACAAAAGGAGATGTTCTGCAACAGTCGGGCTCTGGAAGTAAAAATCCCATTAAATTTCACCATAAGGAACAGTAACTTTATAGACAGACCTGCTGTGAGCTATGAGATTGTTAATCAATGGTAAATGCTTTTGTTAAACACGAAAATGAATATTATTTTCAATTACTCTTTTATCAGAGAAATTCCTGGTAAAAAAAAAAAAAAAAAAACTACATTACCCATGATTTTGCAGAGATATTTCCACCAATCAGAGAATTGCAACAAGTAGCCTTAATCTTGCTAAAAGAACACTTTAGGCAAAAGACATTGAGTCAGTTTTCCTACGCTCTCAAAATACTTAAATATTTGCAATATTTTTGCAATAAAATGACCAGTCTTGTACTTTTGTCTTTTTGTCCAATTTTCAAACACTTTTTGCTTCAAATCAAAGTTTGTAATGTTTTGGTTCACCTTGTAGCTTGTAACTCTAAGACTTTTTTCAAAATCCCTATTGGGAAAATAAATGGGAAAAACCCTTCCGATAACAAGGCCACTGAAAAAGTAAACAGGCACCGTTGAACTCTAAAATAATGTAGGGTTTGGCACATTTCATTTATAGGTAAGTATTCCTTTAATAAGGGTCTATGACGTTACATGATGATTCTAGACTTTTATGTATGACATAATCTTTCCAGCCATTATAATAGCAGCTGGCAGCTGTAACTTCTCATTACACAGAGATGTGATTAAACCGCGGCTCTGGCCTGAACCAGCAGAACTATCTGCTCCATAATCATACGCAGCTTCCTTTTCCACGCTGGACAGCAGCAGTACTCACTCAGGCCTGTGAGGTTTGGAAACACACGACACAACACAGTTTGAAGAGACTCCACTGATGTCAAACATATGATTGGTTTGTATTTTTCTAATCCTGATTCGGTGACTGTGAAACGCTCACACTTTAATGAGTAAAAGAAAAGCAATAAGCCAAAAGAGGCAGTGCGTTACAGCAATTTTACCACTTTTAATTTTAAAGGGTACTTTAAGGCACAACACAAGTTATTGTTTAGTTTTTAACTTGGCGCACTAGAGTTCCTAACAGGAACAGGCCGAGGGTTCTAAGACCTTTCTCACTGCACAAGAACAGGCTTTGTGTTTGAGGTGTGGCTGAATTCCAAACACATGTTATCAGTGCAAAAAATGAATGTGAACCAGAAAAAAAACAACAACATGTTTGCAGAAAATATTCGCAGAGCAACTGATGAGGAAAGCAGAGACTGCTTAAAGAGAGTATTATAGAGTATATCTGTCATAAATAGATGAATATTCACATGACTTTAGAGGATATCTGCCATACACACACAGTCTTCTTCAGCTACAAATAATATTTAATAAAACTCTTAAAAAAACAAAAAAAAAAACATTTCAGGACAAAGTTAGTTTAGTTTTTAACTTGGCGCACTAGAGTTCCTAACAGGAACAGGCCGAGGGTTCTAAGACCTTTCTCACTGCACAAGAACAGGCTTTGTGTTTGAGGTGTGGCTGAATTCCAAACACATGTTATCAGTGCAAAAAATGAATGTGAACCAGAAAAAAAACAACAACATGTTTGCAGAAAATATTCGCAGAGCAACTGATGAGGAAAGCAGAGACTGCTTAAAGAGAGTATTATAGAGTATATCTGTCATAAATAGATGAATATTCACATGACTTTAGAGGATATCTGCCATACACACACAGTCTTCTTCAGCTACAAATAATATTTAATAAAACTCTTAAAAAAACAAAAAAAAAACATTTCAGGACAAAGTTAATGCATTCAGGACACTGTGATTAAAATGAACAACATGAGCTAAAACAGTGCAATTGTTCTTATGCAACTGGAACCTAAAAACCAGCACTGAAGTGAAAACAGCAGGGCCGAATGATGCAGATTAGGTCACCCCTCAACTATTTTAACAAGAGCAAATTAAAACATGCTTCATGCTGGAAATGAGCAAATTCTCTCCCGCTGTAGTAATGGAGACTCTGTATTCCTGTACTGTTATGTTCTCTTCATGTCAACACAATAAAACAGCGTTTGGTTATTACACAGATGCTGTTATTCAGTGTGACGTACTGCAGCACAGCTTCTCTGCATTAATCTGAGGTCACTTGTTGATACGTACTACTATCTGGAATCCAACCTTCGGTTTTAAAAAGCCCAGATCATAAACCAACAGACTTTGGATTAGCCTTCACTACACTACCGTTGAAAAAAAAAAAAATTGGTGTCAGCAAGATGCATTTTGTTTTTTCTTTAAGAAATTAATACTTTTGAGCAATGACGCATTAAATGTTACATTTAAAAAAAAAAGTGACAGTAAAGACATATAAATGTTACAAATTATTTATATATCACATAAATGCTGTTCTTTTGAATTTTGTATTCAAAGAATCCTGAAAAAAGCATATTAGAATCATTTCTGAAGGCTCATGTGACACTGAAGACTGGAGTAATGTCTGCTGAAAATGATGCTTTACCATTACCGGAATAAATTACATTTTAAAATATTAAAACTATCCACACCACAAACTGTTTGGTTTTGTTCTATTACCATGATGACAGAAACTGAACAGACATCTGATTCTGAATGGCAGATATGAACAGAGCAGTTCTGTACTGGATCTGAAGGGGCGTCTTTGTTAAGCAGACCTCACACGGAGAAAAGAGGGAATGTTTTATTTAAGCCCTTTATTTAGCGGTTGTTTTTTGTTCTGTTCATGTAAACCGCTGTGGTACAGCGAAAGCCTGCAGCACAAAACCAGTCAGAACCAGAAGAGAGAGGAGCTCGGCCCATCACAGTGTGTCTCTTGGGCTCAGCTGAGCCGCTGAGCTGATCTTGGCTGACCTCAACCTCCCTAACTACTTCCTGTCCTTTCACGACCCAATCACAGAGTCCTCCCCTGTGGACCAGTACAGAGGAGTCTTTCTGCACAAGCTGTCATAGCCAGCTGCACTCTAAAGGCCCTCAGCAGGACAGCAGAGCAAATAGAGAAAATCAGAGAGAAGACACATGGGCATCAACAAATCCATGGAGTCAAGTTTTCCATTGCATTCACTCATTATAACAGATCTGTCCACTGAGGTGTATCAAATGATGCCTCAGCAACAAACTCTTTTTGTGTCATGTGTACCCGCCCTGACTGTATTACAGTATGAAAAAAAGAGATACGCAGCACTTGGCAGAGATGCATATCTCTCAAATTCTCTGTCGCCAAGGGTCATTTAGACTTCATCCCAGAGGAATTCCAGCACTTCCTGTTTCCTCATTTGTTCTCAGACATTGAGATTAAACAAATGTTCTCAAATTCCAGTCTAGCAAATCCTAAACTAGAAGTTGTGAAAACACTTGAGAGTTAAAAGAGACCCTCAACACACTGCAAAACCACTTAATCGGTATTTAGTGAGATGTGCCGATCTAAATTTTGTTAAAAAAAGAAAAACAATTCTCAAATCGAATTAATTTGAAATACAACACCGTTTAAAAGTTTAAGCTCTGTAAGATTTGCACCAAGGCTGCATTTCTTTGATATAAAAGAGTAAAAGCAATAGGATTGTGAATATCATTTAAAATCTAAATTTTGCTGAATATGCAGCAGACA